TAGCCCAGGCTGGCCTCGAACTCACAGAGATCCGCCTGGCTCTGCCTCCCGAGTGCTGGGATTAAAGGCGTGCGCCACCACCGCCCGGCCCATCTTAGATATTTTTATATTCTATGCCAGTTAACCAAAATTCACATACAAGTTTTCTGTCGTCTTCCATTATCTGTGGTCCATAGGTTCTCTTATCATACATGATAAGCATATTATCCACAAAGAATAGTGTCACACCAAGAGTAGGCTAGCTGTGCAGTGTTGGCCAAGTGACTGAAGGAAGTGCTGCATCTGGACACCTCTGCGTCTTTCCTAGATGCTGTCCGCTGGAGTCAGGACTGCACCGCACTCGTGCGCCCACAGGCTCTGCCGTCTGACAGCAGAGTGTGTTGTCAGTATCTGGAGTGCACCGTGCTCTGCCCTGTCCCTGTGTACGGTTGCTCCCTCACTGGGTGGGATTGGAGCTCACAGGGGGGAGTATGCCTGAGGGCGCAGGGCCTCAATCCAATCTCCTACTGCAAACATAAAATGCACTCAGTGGGGCAGGAAGGATGGAACCAACGAGGGAAAAGTCACTCCCCACGTTTACAAAGGAAAGCAAGCTGCGACCTGCCTTAGCGAAGGGCCTCTAAACTTGTGGGCGCGTCTGTCTACACATACACGTGGACACCACTAAATTATATGGTCAAAATTTCTTAATTTCTTAGCTTCAATACTAAAGCATGATCCTCAAAAAACAATTAATCAGAATTTATCAAAACTTAAAGTTCTTCTTTAAAACCACTGTAAAGAGAATTAAAAGATAGCTGAGCTAGGTGATGAGCCAACCAGAGCTATATAGTGACGCCCTGTCTCAAAAAAGAAAAGGAGAAAGAATTAAAAGACAGTTCTTAGTTGGAGACCAGCCTGGACAAATCGAGTTCCAGGACAGCCAGGACTGTTACACAGAGAAACCCTATCTCGGGGGGGAAAAAAGATAGTTCATATGCAATAACAAACTGTGTAAAACATTTGTCTAATAAAAGGGTTTGTGGAAAAGGAAGGGGAGAGAAATGTTGTAATTAAATTATAATCTCAAAAAAGCTCAGTAATTCAATAATAAAACAATCCAGTAGATAGTCAAACTGGGCAAGGTGGCACACACCTTTAATCCCAGTACTTAGCAGGCAGAGGCAGGTGGGTCCCTGTGAGTTCCAGGCCAGCCTCGGTGACATGTGCGATGGGCTTAGAATCAAACAGTAGAGGCTGAGAGATGACGCGGTGGCACTTACAGCCACTGGCTGCCCGTGCAGAGGACCCGCAAGGACCCACGTTCCATTCCAGCACCCACAAGGCTGCTCACAGCCCTTGGTAACTCCAGTCCCGGGGATCCAAGCCCCTCTTCTGGTCTCTAAGGGCACTGCACATCTGACACCCAGGTATGCAGGCAAAACACCCCCACACACAAAATGATGAGGTCATTTTGTGATTTAAAATAATGATGAGTAAGTAAACCAGGCAGAGCGTTAGCCAGACATCCGGAAGGAAGGGCTGCAAGTAGCAAGGAAACATGAAAAATGCAGCATCACCAGTCATTAGAGAAATAGGAAGTTACATCTCAATGAGATGCTGCTTCTAAGAGTTCTGAAATCTTTGTTTAGGTGCTTGTGAGGATGTGAAGCAAACAGAACTCTCCTGTACAGCTTGTAGGAGTTGTGGAAAATAGTCTGGCAGTGTTTCATAAATACCATGCATTTATAGTGTCATTATTCATAACTGTGAAAAAACTAGAAAGTCCCAAAGTAATGTCATTTGCCTGGTAAATGTGACAAGAAAAATTCTGAGATTCCCTGAATTTAAAAGGGCTAGAAGGGCTGGAGAGATGGCTCAGAGGTTAAGAGCACTGGCTGTTCTTCCAGAGGACCTGAGTTCAATTCCCAGCAACCACATGGTGGCTCACAACCATCTGTAATGAGGTCTGAGGTCTGGTGCCCTCTTTTGGCCTGAAGGGACACATGCAAGCAGAACACCGTATAAATAAATAAATAAATAAATAAATAAATAAATAAATAAATAAATAAATAAATAAATAAACAAATAAATAATAAATAATAAATAAATAAATAAATCTTTTTAAAAAAAGGGCTAGAAAAGAGAGAAAGCTTAACTCAAAACAAGATGGATGGTGCATGTGTAGTCTCAGCACTCAAGAGGATGAGGCTGGATGACAGCCACATTGAACATTCCTAATCTCCAGGTTCAGTAGGCATTGTCCCAACTGCTTAGTAGTCTTGCTAGTGACGGAGTTGTGCCCCAGGACCTGCCCTTTCTTTTTCTCTGATTTCTGTAACAGCTCAGAAAAACCTTTTCTTTCAAAGGACCCTCAGGTTTAAGGGCTCTGGTTGCTGGGGGTGTAATTCAGTTTATAGAATGCTCATCCAACATGCTTAAGGCTCTGGGTTTAATCCCCAGCACAAATAATCCAGATGTGGTGGTGCAGTCCCCATACTCAAAAGATGGAGCAGAAGGATCACAAGTTCAAGGTCTTCTTTGGCTGCATAGTGAGTTCAAGACCAGTGTACATGAGACCCTCTCTAAGGAGTTAGAGGGGTTTGGGGTTTAGCAAATAAACGATACATTTTTTAAAAAATGCTAAAAATAGGGGCTGGAGAAATCACATAGTGGCTAAGATGTGCATGAGGACAGGAGCTCCAAGTCCAGCCCCAGACAAGAGCCAGCTGTGTCCCTGGGCATCTGTCCAAACCAGAACTATGGACTAAAATGGTAAGTTCTACTGTATGTAGTACTTCAAAAGCCCGGGTTTTATAGATCAAAAGTAAAATTGCTTTCGGAAGTGTGTCTTGTTATGGGCCAGCCCTTACTTCCTTGAAGGTAACTTAGTTTTGCTTCTTTATTCCAGTTTGCAGGAGGTATTTATTCTAGGCTTGAAGCGCAAGTCAAAGCCTTGGCCACACCTGGCAGCGCCCGGCAGAACAGCTCAGACAAAAATCCCAGGTAAATCAGCAGGAAGCAGCAGGACTCCTCTGCCTCTGTAAAGTCAGCTGTGTGAATACTAAGGCACATAGTATGACTTCAGTTTCTTATTTCATCAAAGTCAGAACTGATTTTAACAAGTCATGAGCACAAACTTTCATGAATATAAAAGGCTTAGTATTTTTTAAGCCAGCTACTTAGAGTCAGCTGATAAAATGAACACTGCGGGGGTTGTGGTACACAGCCTAGAGGTAAAAAGCTCCCCTAGGACACTCAGGGCCTCCGTGTGATCTGTAACACCAAATAATAATAGTAATGCACTAGTAGTAATAGCTACAGTTCAACTATGAATTAGCAAAATTGTCATAGTATGTGTAGACTATGCTAGGGTTACTTGAGGAAATCATTGAATCTTTCCTGTTCCTTGTTATTCTCTCTCGTCCCCTCCCCCAACCCCTCCCTCTCTTCTCATAGTGTGGAAATAGGAAGAACATGTTGCAGAGTAGAGGGTAGTGTAGTCTCGAGGTGTGAAAGTGACCAAAGAAAACACTGTGTTCATCTACATTTGAAGTAGGCTTTGTATAGTTTCTAACTTCTCTTGAACATCAACTATCCTAAGCCATTATTCTGCCCAAGTGGTTGACAGGCCTGGTTAAGTCGATCGACCCTTTTAAAAGGAGGCAATGGTATGTCTTAAGTCTTTACCAGAAAACCCCAGTGTAGTAACATCTTACTTCTTAATCAATTAACTGCTAAGTCTTGTGCCGTTTGCCACCGCAGACTTTCCATTAGGCCTTAAGCTACTGAGATGTGAGCACAAGTATTAGAGCTACTGATGCACCTAGTCTGTAACCCTGCAGTCAGTCCACAGAGCTACAGAATCGGCCTTCTCAGTCCTGCTGAGCCATCTAGAGCTGCTGGTTAGAGAGAGCCACAGGGTTTACTTGGTTCACATTCTCAGTGGTTGTGTGTTTCCCCAAGAAACACTAATGTGTCCATTACATGCTGGTCCTGACCTGTGCTATGCAGCAGACATACTATATTCACTCTCAAAAAAAGTTGTTGTTGTTGTTGTTTTAAAATCTGAGTTCCAGATTGCATCTCACTGCAGGGGTTTTAGAAAGCTTGGTGAGCGCGCACAGTTTGGCTGAATATTGATATTGTCAAGCAGGCAGACTAAGGCAACAGCGAGTTCTGTTCCAGAGCGAGTCTGACTTTGTTTTCTGTTTAAAAAATTTAGGTCTAAAAGTCGTTTTGGTCAAGGGCGTCCTGCATAAAGCACCCTAAAATATAAAAAGAGAGAAGGCACACTCCTGGACATCTGCAGTTGTTCATTTCCTGAAGACCTTCCAAACAATGACTTCTAGGTGTTTTCTTAGTTATTCCTGCAAACCGCATAAATCATGCTGAGACACATACATAGTTAGGCTTCATTCAAATCTAACTGTAAATATAAATTTTAATATCAACTTCTCTTTGTGTAATTCTAGGCTGTGAAGAAAATAATCACAAACTTTGCATAGTTGATTCCTAATATTTGTTACCCTTTATTTATTTGAAAGAGAAGAGACCTAAATTGTCAGATGACTGAGTTTTGGTAAGACTTGACGAAATTAAGGGACATGATTGATATAGTGTTTTTGTGAATGTATCCTGATCATCATATGTTTGGGACTGTTGAGTCTTAGGTATAGCATTGAAAAATGAATTTTGTAGGATGAAATGTCCAGTGATGCTAAGTGTAGGTTTGTGTGAATGTTAAGGCATGACGGATCTCAAAGCTGCATTAATGAGTGTCAAGGTGAAGTTACTCAAGTAGCATGTTGGTCTAGAAGGGTAATTATGTGGAGAAACTTTGGTTTCTTCCAGTTTTTCGTGCATCTCTGTCGGTCATCTGAGCCTGAATTACTGGCCGTCAGTTTCTCCTCTGTGAAGCTAGTGGATGGTTGAGGGAAGAATCACTAGAGTTCTGCAGCAGTCACTTGCATGGTTCTCCAGCCCATCCATTCTCTAAACCTATTTCAACAGCCCCTTAAAAATTACAATTGCTAGTTGCTTTAAAGGTGTCTTAAAATTCCCAGATAGATTAGATGGCTGGAAATTTTATACATTCAAGGAAAATAAAACTATTTTATAGATCATGTTTTAATTTTTTTCTAATCAGATACATAACGTACCAAGGGAATTTTTGTTCCAGACTGTAAGCATGTACTAAATTATATGTTCGGAAATTATTTATAGATCTCTGAAAACCATAAGATGCACACAATTTCTACTTTTAGTTTTCCTTTGCCTTTTGGTTCATGTCTTCAAATTATTCAGTGAACAAGCCTTGATAATATGTAACAGAACAGGAGTTTTAAAAGAAAAGTTCAAATCTGACACTCAGTTCACACAAAAAGAAATTATAATTTTTTTTTTTTCGAGACAGGGTTTCTCTGTGTAGCTTTGCGCCTTTTCCTGGAACTCACTTGGTAGCCCAGGTTGGCCTCGAACTCACAGAGATCCGCCTGGCTCTGCCTCCCGAGTGCTGGGATTAAAGGCATGTGCCACCACCGCCTGCTAAGAAATTATAATTTGTAATGTATCTTTTAGTTGCTATATGAAGCTCAATTATTGGAATATGTTTTTAATGTCTGGATTTTGTTTTATATATGTATGCTTTTCAGTTGTCTGATACTGTGGAAGTTGCTTATACCATATTTATTTTAAAAAGTGTTTCTTAGCACACCATGTGTGGGTCTCATTAGTCCTCCGCCTTACGTTGGCTCCTGTTCTCTGATAGAGGATTTGGACGTACATGTGTAAAGAGGCCTGTTGGAATCCTTGTAATCAGGAGGAAATCTGCTCTTCCGTTTTTTCCTGATGATAAAGTGTACATACATGCTTCTCCCCTGAGGGGACTGAACTACTGATTGATGCTAACAAACCAGACTTTATTACAATCTGACTGTATACAGAATATGTTTTGTTGTTTTGTGTCTGTCTGTGATACATGGGCAGGCATTCCTTCTGCCAAGTACTTTAAGGATTTCCTTACATTAATTCTGAGTTTATACGTCTTTAATTGAAATAAAGGGCACTGTCAAAAACGGTGGGGAAAGCCCCTGGATCTGACTCTGCTGTCTGACGAGTCTGGAGTCTCTCTATTCTACATGTTTCCCTGGAAAATTAGCTGTATTCCAAGGTGAAATGCTGAGGGTTTGTGATTATCACCCATCACTCTGGAAACTGAAATAGGAAAATCCCACATTCTAGACCTATCTCAGAACGTTAGCAAAACATTGAAGGGTTAAAACACTACAGAGGGTCTGGGTACGTGGCTCAATAGCAGAACACTTGTCTGGGGTGCACAGGAACTGGGATGGATCCTCACTCGCAGGTGTGAGTGGAAACCGTACTGTGGAATCTGGCCACACTGCCGACTGCACAACTTCTTCATCGTATTTGTTACTTTTCTTTGGAATGTTTAGCCAGGCATTGTGACTAAATATATACTAAATTGTATATAATTATTTTGGAAGCTGAGGCTGAAACTGTCATATTTTAGCAGATGGCAAATTTAAATAAACATTAAAAAGCCTTTTGTCTCCAAACCTGGCAATAATTCGTCAACCAACCTCTAGCTATCACTGACCAACTGTTAGGCATTTCCCAGGCCAGACCCTAGGTTCTCTAGCCAGTCCAATTCTAATGGGTTAGCTCCCTCAATCTCCCTAAAATCTGGTCTGTAGAGAAAACCAATCCTGAGATAATGTTACAGATTGGGAGTGAGTAAATTCATAGTTGTAAATAGTTAATACAGTAACTTTTGGCTTATCGAAATCTCTCCATAAATACCATCTGTTGTTGCATTGATATTATTATTTATTTATTTGGAATGCATTTTCAAATTCTTTAAGGCAAAAGTTTTTTGTACCTCATCCTATAATTTGAATTTCTAAGTGTGTGGAGGGGTGTGTGGGTGTGTGTGGGTGTGTGTGGGTGTGGAGGGTGTGTGGGTGTGTGTGTGGGGTGTGTGGGTGTGTGTGTGTGGGGAGTGTGGGTG